TGGTGGGAGAGTCTGCATGCTGGTGTGTTTTATGTTCTCCTTGACAAGGAAGGAAGTAAAGCACCCTGGAGGCAAGAGGGCTGCAGTGCTGGCCTTGAGAGTAGCCAGAAAGGGATGGTGGAATGCTTGCAGGACGTCATGTTCCCTTCCATTCAGGAGGAGAAGGGGAAGCCTTGGAGGCCGCAGGAGGAGGAAAGGCCTGTTCCTTTAGCTCCACCATGCTCTTCTCTCTTGCCTGTGGAACAGCAGCGGAGCCAACTTACAACATTTCTCCGTTTGGTGTATGAAGACTACCAGGAGAAAAGGCCGTTGCTGGGAAGGGCCTTCACGGGGTGTTTTCCATTTGACTTGGTGGAAAAGGTAGACCTGGGAGCCGGCATGGAGACTGTTTCGCATACTAAGTAACCACAGTAAACATGGCCTGATAGCTCCTCAATGGACAAAAGACATGCCCCCAATGGTGGTCAGGTGCAGGAGAGAGGGAGCCATTGACCCCAGGGGGTGTAAAAGGCAGCAAGCATGCAGGGCAGCCTTTTCTGTCCCTGGGCCGATTCACCTCGGGGGCCGTGAGATGCGCAGGGACCCGTCCTTGTTTGAAGCCTGGCTGCCTTGTCAAGGGCTAGCTGCCCTTCTCCACCGTTTTGAGTTGCTGGGCTTCACACCGGAGCTTTGCAGTAAGTTCTACGCTGCAGGTGCTTGTTATTCAGGGAAAGGCCTCCTTGACCATAGACTCTCAGAGGTCACTTGGCTAGATTGGCTCCTTTATTGCAGACAAGAAGGAAGTCCTCCACAGCCAGTAGGGCAAAGAAGCAGAACTTTTATCCAGGTGTTTTCCTCTCGCCTCTCTGAATAAAGGCGGCATTTCCTCAGGTGGCATAAGTCATGGGGACCCTTTGGTAAAACATCTCTATCCTTAACATTTGCCCTGTTTTGGCTCGATTTTACTCAGGCTGCGATCCCTTTGCTTCCTGCCTACCGAAAGCCGAGTTCAGGTACAGACCGTATTACGATCACCTGGCAAGCTGGAAGGAGGCCACCCCGGCTGAGAGGGATGCTTCAGACTTCAGCAGGGAGGCCTGGCCCGCAGAAGACTCTCAGGAAGCACCCAAGACTTTTGCTCCACTGCAGCCCCCGGGGCCACCTCCCCCCTCCCCCTCCCCCTTGGAGAACAGCCCTAATTCTCCCCCTGGCTTCCCTTGAATCCAAAAGGGGCAGGGAGGCCAGAGGGGACTGGGTGGATAATCAGCAGCCAACTCCAGGGAGGGTTGCTTCTATTTTAAAAGGGGTGGGGGCCCACTCTCGAACTTGCAACCATTAAAATTCCTGCTTTCCCCACTTTGTGCCTCTCTGAGCTTCGTCTCCAAAAAAAACAGCTTTTTGGTAACAAATAACCCAAAGGTGGGGCACTGGACGGCCAGAAAGACAACGTGAGCCGGGTCAGTGGGCATATGCAGCGCTTAGGTTAAGGCATACTTGAAGCCAACTCAAAGGGGAGGTCATTCAAAGGCCCAGGGCGTTCTGTTTGCTAGACGCAGGGGTCACCAACCTTTTGGACCTCAGAGACCACCAAACTCATAACTTTAAACCCCGCGGACCACTGATATGAATTTTGACTGACGGTGGCTTGCTGACGTCGGTGGGAGCGTCGGTCCCATATTCCAGAGCTGCCGTAGTCACAGGACTGGCCCTTTGGTCATCCCGGAGCAGCTGCTCCTCCACCCGGATGCACCGGCCTGCCATGGACTGGAGCAGCTGCTCCGGGATGACCAAAGGGCCAGTCCTGTGGCTACGGCAGCTCTGGAATATAGGACTGACTTTCCCACCAAGCCACCCCGGGGTGGATTTCCCTCCCCCGCCATTGCTCTTACCTTCTTGTTCCAGCTCATGTGGCTCTACTTAAGGTTCGTGCTTGGCCGAAGGGTGGGAGCCAGCGGGTGAGCAGGCCACGTGGGCGGCGCAGCCTTGTGTTCCCGCACAGCCTGCATTAATTGCTTTGGGGGGACATTTCTCTGCGGACCACCAAAACTTCCTTGCAGACCACCAGTGGTCCCCGGCCCACCGGTTGGCGACCACTGCGCTAGAGGACAGCTAAAGGAGCAGACTGGGAAAGGGGAAAGGGGCTCGGTCGTTTTGTGCAGTCACGGGTGGACGGCCATCGTTCGTTTCTTTCCCCTTCTGTGAGCAGCGGGGTTGTTTTGCACAGGGATTTGGAAGAGGAAAGGTGGTTTCTGAAATCATTCGTTTATTTTGAAATGAAAAGGGAACAAATATTCAGGGGTCCCTAAGTTTCGGATTCTGATCTAAAGATTTTACTGGTCTGTTATAAATGTGACCACCCCTCATAAATGGGGCTTCTCGGGAGAAAATAAAAGCATGATGATTCTGCCTCTTGGCTCTCTTCCTCGTGCGTAAAAGGCAGCATCCTGACCGTTGGATCTTCTCTGCAGTCCTCTGCTTTGGGTTACCTATTGTCAATAAAACTCAGGTCGGTTCCTCTTCCTTTCTTCCTTGGTTCATTCTTGTGGTTCTGATAAATTTAGACCATGCTGCTTGCCAATGAGTATTATCTAAAGAAGTCCCGGCTCTTGCAATGTGGAGGCAAGATCCCCCGTGTTTCTGGCTCTGACAGTCCCTCTGGGGGAAACAGCGGTTGTCTTGCCTCCCAAGGCAGCATTTGTGGCCCCGCCAGAGAGGGCTGTACAGAAGAAGCCGAGAGGGTGACAGCCCAGAATTGTCTGCCCAGGATGAGTGATTAAGTATAGCAGAGTGGGGTTTCTGTTGCTACCGTGGCTCTTTGGACCAAACTTTTGTGTTGCTTGTGGAGTTCTCTTGGCAACCCCTTGACTTTGAAGAAAAGGAGAGAGTGGCTCCACCCTCTTGTGGTTAATCTTCCTTGCGTTCTCCCCTCTGCCCAGCTTCCATTCATAGCAGCGCTTCCAGGCTCCCACCAGCAGCTTCCTCCAGGCCTTTCTCAAGGTGGGTGCTTGAGAAATGTTTACCTTGTTTTGAAATTACGTTCTGGGGAGAATGACCAGTCAGCGCTGAAAGCAACAATATGCCTACTTTAAAAAAAAAACAAATGGGGCCAAGAAAAGTTGTAAAGATCCAATTGATGCTTTTTATATAGTGAGACAGTTAATTATGTCTATGAAATAAGCCAGGTTTAGCTTTCTCCAACATTTTAAATGAGCACAATTTCTCCCCAAGTTTTTGGGGCACAAAGTTGTGAGGGGAGCCCCTTCTTTTCCTTGGCAGTCCCAGCTTGTTGGCTGGCGTCTCCTGGGCCCGTCCTCGGAGAAAGAAGGAAGAATAGCTGGGGGATATGTAATTCTCTTTTTCTGGGGATTATTCTATGGTGCGAACCACCCATACAATGCTGGGAGATGAAAAGAATTCCAGGGTGCTCATTTATGAGATCCAGGGCTGGATTTGGGCAAAGCTGTTCCGTTTAATCAGGATTGTGTTTGAACGACCATTGCATTTTTCTCTCTGCGGGCGGAAACCATTTGAAGAAATAATTGCCTGGAGCTATGGATTCCCTCTCTTGCATTAGATGGATAGTGCTGGGCTGAGAAAACCAGGACTTCTGTGCCTCTCTCACCCCAGGCAGTAAAAGGCTGACCAAACTACAGGCCAGGGATGGGACAGGAAGGGAGTTTGGTGCTTCGGTGCGTCTGTCTCTTGACTCTTAAGAAGCTCTGTTTATCCACACTTACGCACTGAAAGCTATGTACTTTTTGCACCTGATGTTCTAGATCGGCGAGGTTTTTCAGACCCTTTCCTTGTGGCTGTTGAATATTGAAAAGTATTTCTTCTTCTGTGAAACTATGCTGGGATGGGATTTCACAATAAATTTAGCTGCCTGTTCTTAACATCTACAACGCTGGGGGCAGGTTGTTCAAGTTAGACAGAAGGAAGAGCTTTATGCCAAAGCTGGCAATGGCCACAGTTTCCGTGGGTTTGGAAAGGGACGAAGCCTGTGAGGAGTGGGAAATTATGGCTGAATAAGGGAGTGCAAAGCCCCTTGTTGTTTAGAGACCACATCTGGATGTGTTACCTCCTGAGTTTGGGAGCAGCAGCGAGAGTGATGGTGCATTTGTGTTTGTTGTGCATTTGCCTACTTTCTGGAGGTATCTGGTTATCAGATGGACGACGCTGGGCCCAGGTGGACTTTTGTTGGATCCACCATCACTGTTTCATCATTTCTCCCAGGTAGAAGAAAGCGGAAGGAACAGGGTGACAAGTACTGTTTTCAGGGCAAATTGTTGGCAGTGGAAGATTTGGCCAACTTTCGAATGACACCCCGGTTGGAAGTGGGCCCTGAGAAGAAGAAAGCACAAAGGCAGCCATCTCCGGGGGCTCTAAGAGGTTGTAAGAGGGGCAGATTCTGCTCCAGTGGAAATAGGGCTGGGAAAACAATGCCTCGCTGCAGAGGATAAGTTACTGTTTAAATCTTTGGCAAGATAAGCCTTGTGGCAACTGATTAACTTCAGCAGAGCCAGAGGAAGGTTTGGTTCTGTGTCCTTTTGAACTCTTTCTAATGGAGCAGCCTCACTTTGTGGTTTTTGTGGGGTAGGCTTGGAAAGGGCTTCCCTCTCACTTTATTTAGCTGACATTTTGGTTTATGTAGCCAGCTGTCTCAGCCCATAACTCTGAGCAGCGAAGAGCAATTCAAGACAATATGAAAATGTGTTTTTAAAACTAGTTATTCCTCCGAATCGGTTGCCGCAGTTCATCTTTTGCCCTGCCTGTGCGAGGAATTGCTTACACCCTCGTCTCTGAAGTGCAGGATTAGGCCAGCCTGAATATTTCGGTCTGAACCAAACTTCAAACCGGCTTCAACGTTTTTGCCTCTTCATTAGAAACGCTGCCAGTTCAAAAGGGGCTGGAGTGACATTTCTTCTTTGGGCCCGACCCCAGTCCGAAGTAGAGTCAGGGCTTGGTAGGCATCCATCTACGTCCAGCCAGCAGATTTCTCGGGATTTCCTTTGGTTGCAGGAATGGAATTCGGGGTCCGTGTCAAAGGCTGCACAGCTGAGCAATTTCTGGGTGGAAACCTATCCCAAGGACAGACTTCTCCAAAACAGCTGCCTGCATTCCACCTAAAGCGACGCAGGAAGATCAGCCAGACTTGTGTTAAAGAGCGGGGTAAGTGCCGAGAATGAAGGCAAGGAAGGGGCCAGCGGGATGTTACATCAATTATTCTCTCTTGGTCAAAGACAGGGAGGTAAGGTAGCGAAGTTTCCAGGTATGAAGTAAAATAGCATTTTCATTTCCACAGTTTTCCTTCCTTCCTTCCTTCCTTTCCTTTCCTTTCCTTTCCTTTCCTTTCCTTTCCTTTCCTTTCCTTTCCTTTCCTTTCCTTCCTTCCTTCCTTCCTTCCTTCCTTCCTTCCTTCCTTCCTTCCCTTCCCTTCCCTTCCCTTCCCTTCCCTTCCCTTCCTCTTCCTTCCTTCCTTCCTTTCCTTTCCTTTCCTTTCCTTTCCTTTCCTTTCCTTCCTTCCTTCCTTCCCTTCCCTTCCCTTCCCTTCCCTTCCTCTTCCTTCCTTCTTTCCTTTCCTTTCCTTTCCTTTCCTTTCCTTTCCTTTCCTTTCCTTTCTTTCCTTTCCTTTCCTTTCCTTCCTTCTTTCCT